AATTGAGGGGGGCCCCAAAAGCCCCTGGGGGGGGGGGAAAAAATTGCCAAAAAATTTTTTTTTTTTTTGGGGCAAAAACAAAAAGGGCCCCCAAATTTTGGGGGGTTTTTTTATGGGGGGGGAAAGGGGCCCCCCTTCAAAAAGGGGCCGGGGGGGGTCAAGGGAAAAAAGCCTCCGCCACCCCAAAAAGGGGGCCCCCCCCCCCCCCCCCCCCCCCCTCCCTCCCTCCCACCCGGCCCCACACCAAGGAAACCCACCTGGACCGGCTGCATCCCCCCGTAGGGGATGGCCCTCGTGAAGATCTCCCACAAGATGATGCCGTAGCTGAACACGTCAGCCTTCTCGGTGTAGTGCTGGCTGTTGATCACCTCCGGGGCCATCCAGTGGTACGTCCCCGCCTGCCCCGTCATCTTCTCCGACACGGAGGTGGCCTTGAACCTCGACAGCCCAAAGTCCGTTACCTGGTTTTCGTTGCAGAAACATTTCAAAGAGGAGTTGGGGGCTACGTGCGCTTGTTCTGGGTTTGGAGTGTTGGGTGTGTATTCCTCGTCGTGCGGTGAAAATGAGACGTGTTTTATCATGTTGCTATTGCTGTGTGCTACTAAGGTTACAACGCCTATATTTTTTGCACCCCTTGTTGATCTTGTTGCTGTCGCTGTGTGCTATTCAGGCCACAAAGCCCATCTTTGTCGCACCCCTTGTTTGTCTTGTTGCTGCTGCTGTGTGTTATTCAGGCCACAAAGCCCAGCTTTGTCGCACCCCTTGCAGAATAGTCGCCTCACTTACATATACTCTTCTAAGCTATAACGTCTATTGTTCATCAACTGTGAAAGAGACAGGTCGCCTCTTGCCGGCCAGATGAAACGAACACCAGTAAACGACAGCGCTGTTCAAATTTGCAAAAAGCAAAAAAAGTCGTCGCCAAGCAGAGAAGACGTCCAGCGTATCCCCGACGAGCCTCCCGGGCAACGAGGACGCCAGTCGTGTAAAACAGCTCACAGCAGCATCACAGCAAGACTCTGGCTGTCATCTCGCTGCATCCCTCCCCTGTTCCCCGTACTCTAAACAACAAGTTGATTCATTGATACTTGAAGAGAGAGGCAGCGACGAACGAGTACCTCCGGAAAACAAACAGTCTAATCTTTCCAGATAAATGTCGCGAGTACCATGGACTCAAGCAAATATGGCCACCCCTGCCCCTGCCCCTGCCCCCGCGGCACTCGCCGGGATAAACGTTGAGTTGCCAAAAAGAAAAAAAGGAAGCACCACGGGAAAGCATTGCAAAGCACAACACGTACCTTGGTAACCCAGTTCTCGTCGATGAGCACGTTCAGGCTCTTCAGGTCTCGGTGTATGATGACCGGGTTCTGGCTGTGAAGGTACTGCATGCCGGTCGCCACGTCAAGCATCATCTGCTTCTTCAACTTGAAGGTCAACTCGACACTGGGAGCAGCAGCATCACAGGTGTCAGGCAAAGGTAGGGCGCATGCGGGGGGGGGGGGGGGGGGGGGGGGGGGGGGGGGGGGGGGGAAAAAAGGAAAAAAAAGGGGGGGGGTTTTTTTCGTGGGGG